ACCCCCACAGTGTCCCCCCCTATCCCCTTGGTGTCCCCCTGTTCAATCCCTGTCCCTGCTCCCCCCACACACACAGTGTCCCCCCCTCCCCCGTGTCCCCACATGTCCCCACATGTCCCTGTGTGTCCCCTCACCCACGAACACGTGCTCGAAGCCGCAGGAATCCAGAGCTTTGCCACCGGAGCGCGAGTAGAGCCCGAACCACATGGAGTGGAGATCAGCACGGAAGGCGTCAGCCGAGGGGTACAGCCCTGGGGACACGGGGACATCGTGGGGACAGCGTGGGGACATGGGGGACAGTGTGGGAACATCATGGGGTACAGCCCTGGGGACACGGGGACATCGTGGGGACATCGTGGGGACACATGGGGACATGGGGTACACCCCTGGGGGCACGGGGGACATCGTGGGGACACGGGGGACATCGTGGGGACATGGGGGACAGTGTGGGAACACCATGGAGACATGGGGTACAGCCCTGGGGACATTGTGGGGACACCATGGGGACACATGGGGACACATGGGGACAGAGTGGGGACATGGGGGACAGCGTGGGAACACCATGGGGCACAGCCCTGGGGACAGCGTGGGGACATGGGACACAGCCCTGGGGACAGGGTAGGGAATGTGAACAGGGGGGTTCAGCCCTAAGAACAGGGCAGGGGGACACGAGGGACACTGGGGGGACACTGTGAGGACAGGGGGTTCACCATGGGGACACTGTAGGACAGGACACGGGGAACACCGTGGGGACACTGTGGGGACAGGGGGAACACCGTGGGGACACTGTGGGGACAGGGGGAACACCGTGGGGACACTGTGGGGACACTGTGGAGACACTGTGGGAAGACTGTGCAGACACCTTGGAGACACAATGGGGATACTGTAGGGACAGGTGGAACACTTTGGGACACCATGGGGATGGGGGGACACCGCGGGGACAACGTGGGCACAGGGAGAACACTGGAGGGACACTGCAGGGACAGGGGGAACATCATGGGGACACCATGGGGACACCGTGGGGACAGGGGGAACACCAGGGCAACACCGCAGGGACATCATGAGGACACCATGGGGACACCGTGGGGACTGAGAGGACACCGGGGGGACAGGGGGAACACCAGGGGGGATAGAGGGAACACTGGGGGCATAGTGGGGACACCGTGGGGACACCGTGGGGACTGAGAGGACACCGTGGGGACAGCAGGAACACTGCGGGGACACCGTGGGGACGGGGAACACCAGAGGAACACCATGGGGATATCATGGGGACACCATGGGGACACCGCGGGGACAGAGAGGACACTGCGGGGACACCGCGGGGACAGAGGGGACACCGCGGGCGCACCCTTGGCCAGCACGAAGCGCTCGAGCAGCGCCAGCACCGGCGTGGCCAGCGCGGCCTCCAGGAAGCGCCGCTGCTCCCGCAGCTCCGCCGGCGGCTGCGCCTCCGCACGGCCCGGCCGCGGCTCGTAGTTGTCCAGGAGGGCAACGAGCCCCGAGAAGGTGGGCACGGCCAGCAGCTCCGGGGCCACCCGCGCGAACAGCCTGGCAACGGGAACCGGGGCGGTGGGTGGGACTGGGGGATTGGGGGATTGGGATGGGGGGGGATTGGGATTGGGACTGGGGTGGGATGGGATTTGGATTGGGGTGGAATTGGCATTGGGATTGGAGGATTGGGGGATTGGGGGTGTTGGGATTAGGGGATTGGGGGATTGGGATGAGATGGGAACGGGGTTGGGATTGGGGTGGGATTGGGATTTGGATTGGGATGGGGGATGGGATTGGGATTGGGATTGGGATTGGGTGGGATTGGGATTGGGATTGGGGGATTGGGGTGAGATTGGGAGGGATTGGGGGATTGGGGGATAGGGATTGGGTTGGGATTAAGGGGAATTTGGATTAAGGGTTGATACTGAAGTGGGCTTGGATTGGGATTGGGATTGGATTGGGAATTAATTGGGGTTGGGATTGGGGCAGGATTGGGATTGGGGTTGGGGTGGGATTGGGACTGGGATTAGGGGATTTGAGTGGTTTGGGGGGATTGGGATTGGGGGATTGGGATTTGGACTGGGATTGGGACTGAGGGCAGGGGTGGCGACAGCTGGGATCGAGCGTGAGGACAGAGCCAGGGGGGTTTGGGACAAGGGACAGGGCGGAGCCGGGTGGGATGGGGAGAGGTCCCCCCTGTCCCCCTGTCCCCACCTGTCGCTGCCCGAGCCCTGCAGGTTCAGTTCCAGCTGGCCCGGCTTGGCCCGGTTCGAGTCCGCGGCGAGCAGCTGCTCCGAGAGCTCCCGGAGCTCGGCGTCCGACACGGCCCGGGGCTCCGGTACCGCCCGGGGGGGATCCGGTACCGCCTGGGGGGAATCCGGTACCGCCAGGGGCTCCGGTACCTCCCGGGGCTCGGGTACCGCCCGGGGGGGATCCGGTACCGCCAGGGGCTCCGGTACCGCCCGGGGGGGATCCGGTACCGCCTGGGGCTCCGGTACCTCCCGGGGCTCCGGTACCGCCAGGGGCTCTGGAACCTCCCGGGGCTCCGGTAACTCCCGGGATTTCAGTACCTCCCGAGGCTCTGGAACCTCCCGGGGCTCCGGTACCGCCCGGGGCTCCGGTAACTCCCGGGATTTCAGCACCTCCCGAGGCTCCGGTACCACCCGGGGCTCCGGTACCGCCCGGGGCTCCGGTAACTCCCGGGATTTCAGCACCTCCCGAGGCTCCGGCACCGCCCGGGGCTCCGGTAACTCCCGGGGTTTCGACACCTCCCGAGGCTCCGGTACCGCCCGGGGGAGCTCCGGCACCTCCCGGGCCCCAGGGGGAGCCCCCCCGGTGCCGGTGCCGGTGCCGGTGACCAGCAGCAGCCACAGCAGCCACGGAGCCATCGCGGCCCCCCCGGGCCCGCTGTCGCTTATAGCCGCCCCTATCGCTGTCGCGATAACGCGCCAAGGCCGCCACGCCACCTCGACACACCCGGGGGGGCCACCCCGACCCCCCCGGGGGGCTGCACCCCCAGTTCTCCCCCTTTGGGACCCCCACGGGCGGTTTGGGGACTCACCCCCCCCCCAAAAATTTGATCCTCCCGAACCCTCAGGGGGCCGTGAGGGGAGTGGGGAGCTGAGAGGGGAGTGGGGACCCGAGAGGGGAGTGGGGACCCCTCAGGTCTGGGGGGCTCTGAGGGGAGTGGGGACCCCTCAGCTCTGGAGGGCCGTGAGGGGATTTGCGGCACACATTGTCCCGGTTCGAGCGGCACAGTCCCGGTTTGGGGGGGCACAGTCCCGGTCCGGGGGGCACAGTCCCGGCCCAGGGTCCCCCCGGGGTGTCGGTGCCCCCTGACCCGTGCCCTGCCCGCTGCCCAGCTGGTGGGGGTGCTGCTGGTGGCCGTGGCGGGCTGGGCGCGGGGCCTGGCCGGGGGCTCCAGCCCCCCCCTGCTCGGAGGAGCCTTCGCCGTCGGAGTCTTCCTCCTGCTGATCGCGGGGCTGGGGCTGCTCGGGGCCCTGCGGCACCACCAGGTCCTGCTCTTCTTCGTATCCTTTGTGGGGGGACCTCTGGGGACCCCCGGCACCCCCACCCCTCTGTGAGACCCCAGCCCGCCTGGGCACCAGGTCCTGCCCTGCTCTGTCCCCTTGGCCCAAAGACCCCCTCGGTCCCCAGCACCCCCTGGGTGTCCCTGGCACACCTGGCAGTGTCCCCAAGCCCCTCTGGATGTCCATGACACCCCTGGCAGTGTCCACAAGCCCCCCGGGTGTCGGTGCCCCCTGACCCGTGCCCTGCCCGCTGCCCAGCTGGTGGGGGTGCTGCTGGTGGCCGTGGCGGGCTGGGCGCGGGGCCTGGCCGGGGGCTCCAGCCCCCCCCTGCTCGGAGGAGCCTTCGCCGTCGGAGTCTTCCTCCTGCTGATCGCGGGGCTGGGGCTGCTCGGGGCCCTGCGGCACCACCAGGTCCTGCTCTTCTTCGTATCCTTTGTGGGGGGGACCTCTGGGGACCCCCGGCACCCCCACCCCTCTGTGAGACCCCTGCCCCTCTGTGAGCCCCCAGCCCCTCTGTGAGACCCCAGCCCACCTGGGCACCAGGTCCTGCCCTGCTCTGTCCCCTTGGCCCAAAGACCCCCTCGGTCCCCAGCACCCCCTGGGTGTCCCTGGCACCCCTGGCAGTGTCCCCAAGCCCCTCTGGATGTCCCTGGCACACCTGGCAGTGTCCCCAGCACCCCCGGATGTCCCCAGTACCTCCCTTAGGTGTCCCTGACACCCCTGGCAGTGTCCACAAGCCCCCTGGATGTCCCCAGTGCCCCACCTCTGTGTCCCTGGCACCCCTGGCAGTGTCCCCAACACCCCCTGGATGTCCCTGGCAGCCCTGGCAATGTCCCCAAGCCCTTCTTGATGTCCCTGGCAGTGTCCCCAGCACCCCCCCTCAATGTCCCTGGCACCCCTGGCAGTGTCCCCAAGCCCCTCTGCATGTACCTGGTATTCCTGGCAGTGTCCCCAGTACCCCCCTCAATGTCCCTGGCACCCCTGGCCCTGTCCCCAACTACTCCTGGATGTCCCAAATACCCCCTGGATGTCCCCAGGACCCCCCTGGGTGTCCCTGCCCCCCTCCCCAGCTGCCCCCCCTCCCCTGTGTCCCCAAATGCCCCACAATGTCCCCCGGGGGGATTGGGGACCCCCCTCCCCTGTGGCACCCCCAGCTCCTGCCCCCTTCAGACCCTTCAGGGGGGTTCAAACCCTGCCTGGGACCCCCAAAACCTGCAGGGGGTCTGGCTCTGGGGGTGTCAGGGAGGATTTTGGGGTCCCAGAGGGATTTGGGGGTCCCGGGGGGATTTTGGGGGGGTCTCTGTGTGTGTGTGCCCCCCTTGACCCCCCCAGTACGTGCTGATCCTGGGCCTGGTGTTCCTGTGCCAGCTGGGCGTGTCCTGCGCCTGCCTCGCCCTGGGCCGCGAGGCTCAGGTGGGTACAGGGACCCCAAAACCCCCCGGGACCCCCCAAACCCCCTGGGACCACCCCCAAAACCCTTTGGGATCCCTCAAAACCTTCTGGGACCCCCCCGGGCCCCCAAAAGCCCCTGGGACCCCCAAAACCCCCCGGGCCCCCTAAAACCCCCCGGGACCCCCAAAACTCCCTGGGACCACCCCGGGCCCCCCAAAACCCCCCGGGACCACCCCCAAAACCCCCTGGGGGTATCGGGAGGGTTCAGGGGGATTTGGGGACACCCCTGCGGTATCGGGGGGCTGGAGGGGCACCCCGGGGGTGGGGGGGAAGCGGAGTTTGGGGACCCCCTGAATGTGCTGAGCCCCCCCAGGAGGGGCCTGCTCTGCCCCCCCCACCCTCGCTGTGGGGTGTGAGGACCCCCGGGGCTGGGGGGTGTCGGGGACCCCCCTGACCCTGCTGTTTGCCCCCAGAGGTGCCAGTTCCCCCCGGGGGGGGCCCCCCCGTGCCCCCCCTGTGCCCCCCAGCTGCTGCAGCACTCGGACCAGGCCCTCAAGATCCTGGGGGGGGTGGGGCTGTTCTTCAGCTTCACCGAGGTACGGGGGGGGCCGGGGGAGCGGGCGGGGGTCTCAGGGCCCGGGGGGGG